CATCTATGAGTGGGAGTGCTAATTCTCTCAACCAAAGTTCTTTGGCTGTCTCTGTTATGCACCGTACTATTTGTATTCTAGAAAAGTTTATTAAACAGATGATTATGAGCGATGGATAAAAAGAAGAGAGAGAAACAAGAGCCCACCAAAATAAAATCAAGCCCTAGCAACATCATCATCTATCTGATAGAAGAGATTGGTAAAGCGGAACATTGTGCATCTTGATTTCAAATGAGAACATCTTGATTTCAGAATGACATTTGACAAAATTTTTCAAGCCATTATGATTGGGAAAAAATACATGGGTTGCTTAATAATGCAATGAGATGGATGTTTTATTAAATCAGTAATTAACATTTCAAATAACAAAGAACACCTGGCATCATTCCATAAAGCTTTGTTCTGGGATTGTGCTTTTTGGGATGGAATAGTTGCAATTAACTGAATTGCAACAAAGCCTTCAGGTAGAGAAAACATGAACTTATATCACCTTTAAGCCAGTAAACAGCTACAAATTTGGGAAAGGCACAAAAGTTTTGTTTACAGGAATTAGGGGGATGCGTGTACACAAAAGTGAAAAAGGCGTTCTCTTCCTTGAGCACACAGATCACAAGGCTAACTAGTGATCTCTGCTACTCAGACACGAGTGATGTGCAGAAGAAACCAAAGGAACCACTTAGTCATAGAGAGCGTGCTGTATTTTGGGATTTATGAAAGACAGTAGCAATGAGCTTGAATTGTTCAGATCATGGTAATGTTGCGCCTCCAGACACTATGTGATGTTTCTTTGCTTCAGGAAACAGTGCTGGATTCAACCCTTGACCAACCACCCTGGTATTCCATTTAACTGGGACACACTCAGCAAGGCTATATCCTTAAACTCAAAAGCATAAGGATATACTCTCCAAATAGTTTCCATCCTGACATGTTAGGGATATAGTCTCAAAAGAGAAAATTGAACTATTAGACCTGATATTACATAAGCCATCCTTTGGAGTTCTACATATTTTCAGCCATTACAAGTTCTTGAAGTAATGAGTGACACAAGTTTACGATATACTGATTAAGTGGTATCCTTATTCATCCTCAGTTTAGTCCTAACATCTCCGAGGCATTGTCTCCTCCACCAGCCTCTCAGAACTGTGGGTTTTAATAGCATCTGGCTATAAAAGTTCCATTTTTACCCTGTCCAAGCCTTTATGATCTTACAGGCTTGCATCAGCTCCTCCTGCACACTCATCTTGGCAGATGAGAATTTATACAGACTTTGTGGCCCCCTCCTGCCCCTCCTCATTTCCACCGCCTCTGTCTGGCCTGTTTCCAACAACACTGTAGGATTCTGGAAGGGCAGCCTACACGTTTCTTGCTGTGAGGTGGGCGATCATAGGCCGGCGGGTTCTCAAACTGTTTTTCTGATAGCAGCTAGGGGATTTGGATTCGATTCAGAAATGACTTGGACATTACCCACACGCGATCCTGTCATTCCTCTCCTTAGAGCCACAATTATAGGGGATGCCAGATCCTATTCATTTTGGCCTTTTTTGTCCAACTTTTCCTTCCCTGATTATAAACACATGCAATGGCCATAAAAAGCCCTATCCTTAAAGGAGAGTCACTTATAGTTTCAGAAAGGTGAGGTCTCTGACTGTGAGTCCATTTCCACTCTTATTCCCTCCAGGAGGAAGAAATAACATTATCTTCTGGTCACTTGTCAAAGGGCCAGCGGACTGTTTTTCCTGTCTTTATATTTAGAAGGATCACCTACTAATCCTAAGTGATCTCGATGTATGGGTTTGTTTTTATTTGCTTGTATTTTTAGGGACTGAATTAACTTGTTGGCAGCAAGGACTTACACAGGTCTTGTGACCAGGTCTCCTCCCTTGATAAATTTTTTTTTGGGGGGGGGGGTGAGCGCTACGTTATTTATAATGTCTCTCCCAGCTCTGCTTTTCGGTGATTTGGGTTTAGTCCTGTTCTCCTTCTACTGTTACTAGATTTGCATACCGAATTGTTAATTAAAACTAAACAGTGTTGCATCCACAGTGACCCATCATTTCCATCCCTTCCTCCATTCCCTTGCTCGATTTCTAATTTACCGTATGTCAGTTTGTTGACTTGGCGATATCCCGCCACCCACGTGCCAGCTCTGCAACCTCCTGGCAAGGTTGTGGCTCCTTCGGCAGGATCTGAGGGTCCCAGAATAAACAGAATCAGGGAGGCAGAGGGAACCCTTCCAGCCTCTTGTTCCACCCACAGAGCCACATACTCCAAGGCCAGCGTCCTGGTGACCCATGATTACCGATGGACCCCTGGGACTCCCTGTAGGAGCATTTCTTTCGCATCTGTAAGGTGAAATTAATGGGATGGGACACCTTATAAGATCTGGTTTATGTGACTTCTTGAAGTTCAATCAAATCTAAGTTATGAAGGCTATTCTATTTTAAGTGGATTTTGGGATTTAGTTGAGATGAGAATTTGAGGGTATCAACATAGAAAAAGCACTGGAGCCCCTGGCTTTCTGTCTATCTGCATGGAGACCCCAAAGATGGCTTGTTCTCTTCTCTTCCAGCCTCAGTACTTCTCTGGGCCTTTTAGTGTCCCTGTCCTTTTTTGCCTTTTTTTCTTTCTCTCCTTTTGGTGTGAGATTTCTTTCTCACCCTTCCCTCATTCCTCCTTCCCTTCCTTCCTCTTTCTTTCTTTTATGATCTAACTTCTTACCTCTTAATATTTTGTGGTTTTTGCAGCTAATTTTTGCCCTGGACAATGCTTTCTCCTGATCCCACATGTATCATCTGAGACTGACAAGGGTTCGTTCCTTCTTGAAAAAAAAATGGGAACGAAACTGACTCTGGATGGAGCCATCCCCAGTGGGTCACAGTTGTTATTTTAATCTTCAGGGAAAGATTTCCTTTGTAGATCCTTCCTGTTTTGGCACTTAGGAGCCTTTGCTCTGCAAGGGGGTGAAAATATTTTCTTTAAGTGCTATTGTGTTTTAACAAATCCTGTCAAGCGTGCTTGTGTGTGCACATGTGAGTGCTTTCATGATATCAACAAATCTGATACTTTGTTTTTAAAGATTTTATTTATTTATTCATGAGAGACACAAAGAGAGAGAGAGGCAGAGACACAGGCAGAGGGAGAAGCAGGCTCCATGCAGGGAGCCCAGTGTGGGACTCGATCCCGGAGTCCTGGGATCATGCCTTGAACCAAAGGCAGATGCTCAACCTCTGAGCCACCCAGGTGTCCCAAATCTGATACTTTGAACACATTATCTTAGGTGATTTGTTTGAGGACTCAGGCCAACATGGGGGTGGGACACCAACCCCAGCACCAACCCCAGCAGTCGAAAGAAAAGCTATATAGTGCAACTTTTGCCTTCCCTCAAAACTTAACTACTGATAGTCTACTATGGGCTGGAATCCTTGTCAATAACATAAACATTCAATGAATACATATTTTGTAAGTTATATGTGTTTTTTTAAAAGATTTCATTTATTCATTTGAGAGAGAAAGTGAGAGAGAGAGAGTGAGCAGGGAGAGGGATAGAGGAAAAGGGAGAAGCAGGCTCCCCACTGAGCAGGGAGCCCAATGTGGGAGTTGATCCCAGGACCCTCAACTCATGACCTGAGACAAAGGTAGACGCTTAACTGACTGAGCCACCCAGGTGCTCATGTGTTGTATGTATTTTATACTGTATTCTTCCAATAAAGTAAGCTAGAGAAAAGAAGTGTTATTATAAGGAAGAGAAAATGCATTCACAGTACTGTCCCACATTTACTGAAAAAAGTCCATTATATAAGTGGGCCCGTGTAGTTCAAACCCGTGTTGTTCAAGGGTCCACCACAGTAATCATGAAGGGATTCATCAGCTTCACTTTAAACCCATCTTCTTTTTCCCCTACAATAGCAACAGCCTATCATTCTTCTGTTATCAGTTTAGTTTCAGGAAGTCTTGTGTTGCTTTAGTCAAGATGCAGTCTGATTTAGTTTTATTTTTTTAAAGATTTTATTTATTCATGAAAGACACAGAGAGAGGCAGAGACACAGGCAGAGGGAGAAGCAGACTCGTCACAGAAAGCCTGATGTGGGACTCGATTCCCAAACCCAGGGATCACACCCTGAGCCAAAGGCAAATTCTCAATCACCAAGATATCCCTAATATTTATTTAATAAATATTTAATAAATATTTAATATTTATTTAATATTTAAATATTTAAATTTAAATCTTAGTGATATCTAATCACAAAGATGTCCCTAGTTTTATTTTTTAAAGGCATGTATGTCCATTTAGTACAACGGAAGGCAGGGGAAAAACCGAGTGAGCTGTGTGCTGTAGCGGAGTTTGGTGAGCAGAACACCAGGTTATAGAAAATATTGTAGCCAAACCAGGGAGTTTGAAGTCATACAGAGCCATTAAAGGACAATATGCAAGCAAATTCAATGACAAGTGTTTTTCAGAAAGACCACTCTGGCTTGATTGCGGCGATCGTTGGCAGAGGGTCCAGACAGAAGGCAGGGAGCCTAATTAGTGGGGATTGCAATAACCCCGGGAGAATCTCAGGAGAAGATTCAAATCTCGGGTGTTGGCTTTCATAAATAGGTCAGTGATACCATTTCAGATAGAGAACTCAATAAGACCAGCAGAAAAGGAAAGATTGTGAGTTTAGATGTTGGATCCTAACAGAGTCATCATGGTGTCCCTGCAAGGCAGCTAAAGAGCTGTAGGGAATATGAAGAGACTAGAGTTTCTGCCTCAAAGTAGCTGGTAAAAGTAGGGGGGGGGGGCTTCAGGCAGTGGAGTAAAACCACCCATATGTAGAGTGAGAGCTTCACGGGGCAGATGTCACAGGACGTGGAAAAGCTTGAGGCGAGCTTGTGAGGATGGGAACAAGCCAGGAAAGAATCAAGTCTTAGAAGCCAAGACCAGAGTTTCTGGTGGCAGAAGTGATAGATAGAGGGCTCATCAGATTTGGCAATTCAGAGGTCTTTGTGATCTTAAGATAGGTCAATGGAGTGAAACACAGCGCAGACTCTGATCATGCTGGCCCATGCAAGAGGATGTGGAAACAACTCTCTGACTCATCTTTTAATGAGACTGAACATGAGCATCAGCATCAGCACAACTGAGTTCACAGCACAGCTCTGCCATTGACAAACCTGTTGGACCTTAGGTGAGTGACAGTACACCTTACCCACAGCTTCTAACGTGTGAAGTTAATACTGGGTATCTCAAAGAATATGTGGGGGATTAAATGTGCCAATAGGTGTACAAAGATTTTATATTTGATATATTTTATATATTTGTAACATATAAATATAGAATATTTATAAAGTACATTTTTTTGAGAATTGTGGCCATTTTTACTGTCATTCTTAGATTGAATAATTAATTCAATTAAGTGTTTTACTTCCTCTGGATCCCAGGTAAAGCCACTATTTTCATGGTGTGAAATCAGACAACTACCAAGCTGCAGCAACTTGACTTTTTTTTTTTATTTGGATGACTCTGAATGAAATTCTCTGCAAAATATGTTAAAACACCAGAGAAGGAAGAAATTTCATTTGTATAGAAAATAGTATATTTTATGCCATTTTAATTCCTTGAAAGAATACTCAACATGTATTAATTATGGTAGTTCTAGCTAATATAGTTGATTAACTCCAAAACCTGCGTGAAATAAAACAATATTAGCTTGTTGACCATCTGTAACTTTTTTTCTTTGTAGAAATGTTTGTTCATGTCTTCTGCCCATTGTGTTAATTGGATGATTTGGTTTATTTGGTGTTGTCTAGGTTCTTTATATATTTTAGATACTAACCCTTTATTGGATATGTCTTCTTCTCCCATTCAGTAGGTTGTCTTTTAGGTTTGTTGCTTTTTCCCTTCACTGTGCAGAAGCTTTTTATTTTGATGTAGTCCCAGTAGATAATTTTTGCTTTTATTTCCCTTACTCTCAGGAAGCCTAGAAAGCATAGAAAGATGTTGTTATGGCCGATATCAGAAAAATTATTGCCTGTGCCCTCTTCTATGATTTTTATTTCAAGGTCACACATTTAGATCATTAATACATTTTGAATTTATTTTTGTAAGAAAAAATTTATAGTGTAAGTTTATGGTGTAAGAAAGTGGTCCAGTTTCATTCTTTTGCATGTAGCTGTCCAATTTGCCCAACACCATTTGTTAAAGAGACTGTCTTGTTCCGATTACATATTCTTTTCTCCTTTGTCGAATATTAATTGGTCATATAACTGTGGGTTTATTTCTGACGTTTCTTTTCTGTTCCATTGATCTTTGTATCTATTTTTGTACCAATATCATACTGTTTTGATTATGACAACTTTGTAATATAACTCAAAGTCATGAAAAGACGCTCAACATTACTTATCATAAGGGAAATGCAAATCCAAACCACAATGCGATATCACATCACATTTGTTAGAATGCTTAGAATCAAAAACCCAAGAAACAGGAAGTGTTGTCGAGGATGTGGAGAAACAGGAACCCTCATGTACTGTCGATAGGATTGCAAACTGGCACAGCTGCTGTGGAAAATAGTATAGAGATTCTTTAAAAAATTAAAAATAGGGCAGCCCGGGTGGCTCAGGGGTTTAGCGCCACCTTCAGCCCAGGGTGTGATCCTGGAGACTAGGGATCAAGTCCCACGTCAGGCTCCCTGCATGGAGCCTGCTTCTCCCTTAGCCTGTGTCTCTGCCTCTCTCTCTCTCTCTCTCTCTCTCTCTCTCTCTCTCTCTCTCTCTCTCTGTATTCTCATGAATAAATAAATAAAATCTTTTAAAAAAATAAAAATAGAGCTACCTTACAATCCAGGAATCACACACCTGGGTATTTACCCGAAGAATGCAAAAACACTAGTTTGAAGGGACATTCACGAACCCATGTTTATTGCAGCATTATTTATGATAGCCAAACTATGGAAACAGCCCAAGTGCCCATCAGTAGATGAGGGGATAAAGAAGATGAGGTATATATATTTATATATATTTATAATGGAATATTATATATATATAATGAAATACTACTATTCAGCCATAAAAAAGAACTCAGTCTTGCTGTAGAGAGTATAATGCTAAGCGAAATAAACCAGAGAAAGACAAAAATGCCATATGATTTCACTCATGTGGAATTTAAGAAACAAAACAAATGAACAAAGGGGGAAAGGAGAGGGAGAGAGGGAAAGGGAGAGAGACAAACCCCAAACAGATTCTTAGTTATAGAGAATACACTGATGGTCACCAGAGGGGAGGTGGAGGGATGGGAAATAGGTGATGCAGATGAAGGAGGGCACTTGCTATGCTGAGCACTGAGTAATATAGGGGATTGCTGAATCACTGTGTGGTACACCTGAAACTAATATAACATTGTATATTAACTACACTGAAATTAAAATATAAAAAATAAATAAAAATTTAAAGGCTTGTAAATTAAGATGCAATTCATGTCCATTAAGTAAATGAAAATTACTTTTCAGCAAACTAAAAGAAAAAGAAAAAGAACCAGCATTAGCTTCTATTTTATTTATGCAAGAGTACTCTTTGGGTTTTCTTGGTCAGGCATCTCTTCTCTGAGCAGTGATTTGATGATCATTCCATCCTCTGGCTCCACCGTGTTCAGATAGGGTATCTCTTTGCAACCATTTGGAAGAGAAAGCGAGCATATAAAACTGGTCATGGGAGGATGCTGTGCACCAAGCTTGAAGTGGTGCACGTTACTTCTGCCCATGGTCTGCTGGTAGCTAGTGCCCAGACCTTACCTAATTATAAGGAGGCCAGACAATGTTATCTATCTGTATCTAGCTCCTGAGCAGGAGAAAGAGAAAGTTAATTTGAAGATTAGCCAGTCAATGCACAGTATGTAAGTGATAAGAAATGGTGCATATATTTTTTTCAAGATTTTATTTGACACACAGAAAAAGAGAATGAGAGAGACAGAGAACACAAGCAGGGGGAGCAGCAGAGGGAGGGGAGAAGTAGACTCCATGCTGAGCAGGGAGCCCAACCCAGGACTCCGTCCCAGGACCCTGGGATCATGACCTGAGCTGAAGGCAGACAATTAACTAACTGAGCCACCCAGGTGTCCCTTGTGCATATATTTTTTACTATTCTTAACCGGAATAGCACCTTCCCAGCCACACTGAGTAAATACGCACTTAGTTCGATTTTAATCTTTTGAGGATTACCTAAGAAATTCCTCCTTAGTCTTTTGAGGATTACTTATGATAAATACCCCTTCTTTCACCTGGCAGTTGTGCAAACCTAAACAGAGGCAAATACAAGGCTGTTAGTAGAAGCATGAAAAGTGGAAGATGAGTTCCCTGAGCTCTCGCATTATCAGTTCCTAAATCACATTAGTCTCCTAGAGCCCAGACACAAGAGCCAGGACCTTGCTTGTGCCTCCAAACTCAGCTTTCTGGACATGAAAGTCACACTTGGAGGACAAAACCCCATTTACTCTGCAGTTACATGAAAGGTATGACTTCTGTGGCAAGAACTCCTAAAAGAAAAATGTACAATGAAATTATTCACAGACTATTGCTTTTAAGTAGTAAAGTTACACACACACTCACACACACACACACAAAATACAGGAAGATATCCACAGGGAGTCTCTCCAGAAGAAAAAAAAAAAGGCATGTCCCACAGTTTGTCAAGATCCGTAGCCTGGCTGTCAAAGGGGCAGGCTGAGCAGTTTCAGTAATATCAATAAAGATGTGCTGAAGCAAGATGAATTAAGAATGGGTCTGTCTAGGTACCTCTGCATCTTCAGGCGCCATAGAAGTGCTACAGTTGATGTTTCAGTGTTTCTAATCAATTTCATTTTTTGGATGTCTGAGATGAATGGTACGTTTTCCTAGCCATCCAGAGATTTGCTTCACCTTGGGAGATCATGATCCAAACTGAAGGCTCAGTATCATTTCTGCCAGCCCTGAGAGCTCGAGGGGACAAAAACCCCAATGTATTTCATTAGGTGCAGACACTAGGGTGGTGCAGAAGGGGGAAGATTAGGTCCTTGTGGAGATGGGATAAAAGCTTACCAGTCCACTTGTAAAGGTGAGAAAGAGATGGGGCATGGGGACTCCAGAACCACCCTGGTTGGGTGAGCAGGGACAAGAAGGTCTACAGTGTGTGTGTGGTGTGTCTGTGTCTATAAATATATCTATTTAAATAGATAAATTTCTTGTAAATCCTACCCAGAATACTGATTTTTTTTAAAGATTTTATTTATTCATGAAAGTCACAGAGAGAGCAATAGAGGCAGAGACACAGGCAGAGGGAGAAGCAGGCTCCATGCAGGGAGCCTGATGTGGGACTCGATCCCAGAACCCCAGGATCACACCCTGGGCTGAAGGCAGACGCTGAACCACTGAGCCCCCCAGGTGTCCCTCAGAATACTGATTTTTAATAAAGAAGAGGAGGAAGAGTCCAGTGAATAGGGCAAGCCCTTGGACATGTCAAAATATAAAAGAGGCTTCCTCAGTTCCCTGTGTCAAGTGTCTTTGTGGCCACTGACCACAGGGTGGGTGTTCTCCCAGCCTCTGCCTCTCTGAGCTGCTTGGCCACCGGTAGCAAGGCTAACAGAAAAATATAGTATGCTGTTTTTTTCCTATGCTCTTTTATTTCTCTATCTGACTTTTACTGCCAGAATCATGGAAGAGAAAAGGCTCTGCTATTTATTTATTTGTGGATTATTGACAGCAGGGAAGCAATGCTGAACAGGACAGAAGTCCCGGCCCACTGAGTGTTTTCAATCTGTTCATCAAAAAGCTTCTGAGGGGCACCTGGGTGGCTCAGTGGTTAAGGGTCTGCTTTCAGCTCAGGTCGTGATCCCGGGGTCCTTGGGATAGAGTCCCGCATTAGGCTCCCCACAGGGAACCTGCTTCTCCCTCTGCCTGTATCTTTGCCTCTCTCTCTGTGTCTCTTGTGAATAAATAAATAAGATCTTTTTTTAAAAAAAGCTTCTGAGATGAAGAATTAATGTTCAAGTATCAGCTAAAGATAGCCTGTGGGCCAGGCAAAACCTGGGGACAGACAGACAAAAAGTAAAAGTCACTTTCTTTTTCTCATGTAAGTTCTGCTCAAAACAAATCCCAAGAAACTTTCACTATCAATATGCAATTTAAGGTTCCCAAATGGATGAGATCATTTTATAAGA